ACCCAAAACCCCAAAACCCCAAAACCCCAAAACCCCGTACAATCTAAAATATATTGAATTTAATTTAAAGTATCCTAGATAGCATTTTCTTACTGTTGTTGAGCTTCTTCAGTATCTCAGTTAAATTGTCATATTGATATTTTATTGATTTTCATATCACCCAGAACTAATATAAATAGCCTATAGCAGATCTCCAAGGTCTTCCCTAAATTTTGATTCATCTAGTGACCGTCATCTTGGCTTAAAAACATATAAGCTTCCTGAGTCTCTACAAAAAGCTTGGATGAACAGTAATCGAAGACTTTCCAAAATTTTTGAAATAATGGATAATTCTTCTTTCTTAAGAATCCAAATATATTTCATGGTGCAAGACAAGATTTATACATTTATTCTTCCCGCTCGTAAAGGACAGAGAGGAAGTGTCTCATGGAGAGATAAAATATTAACTTAGCTGTAAAATAAGGAGATTTACAAATTTGTTTCTTGATTTTTTCATAAAAGGTTACTTCGAGAACTAATTAGGCCACTGCCTTCGATATTTTAAGCACCAGGTTATAAATTTATGCTGATTCTGGTTTACAAATAGTTCCATTTGCTCTATTATATCTTTTAAACGGCTATTTATCTGATTCCTTGATTCCAAATAACAAAGACCATTGCTCTTAAAAATATTTAAATGGAAACTCTTCAGCTTCTTCATTTCCCTCTCATATGTTTCCAGCTTCTTTCTCTCTGTTCAGATCTCCATGGACTTAATGAGGCTACCCAGGGGTGGTAAAGAAATAGCAAGTAAGCTTGAGTCAAACTTTAAACTCCTTCTGTAGAGATCAAACATTAATAAACATTGGACCTTCCTTCAAAGTGAACTTGATTAGAATGAGCAGAATCGATAATAAGTCACTAGTGACTTATTATTCACAGATTCCGATAAATTAGAGCTTATAAAGTCTGCTCTAATATTTTTGGGACTTCTGTTACTCTCATCTATGTCTTATTTAAGCTTAAGAATTCTTTTGATTCAGACTTGATAAGTATTATTTATAATTTCTTGTGTATGCTAAGCCTGTCTGCATTTTATTGGAGAATGTTTTTACCCTTTTTTGAATGCTAACCAGTTGGTGACTATCAAACTCTCTTCTGGAGACTCTTAAAACTGACATTAACAAAGAATTTAGAGCATTTATATCAGCTAAATACTTCTGACAAAGCACATCTGTAAATTTATAAAGTATACAAATAAACTGTGCACCAAAAGAGCACTCAGGCCCGACTTAAACTAAGATATTGATATCAAAATCTCACTAAAAATTCTAAAGATGCTCTATTAAATGTCACTACTTCAATGACTTGAAGAATAAATTTCCATCAGAATTCCTGAAGAATGATCCCTCCTCCAAAATATGGGACTGGGCTTAACCCAAGAGAGGACAGGCTGAGAATACGTCCATTCAAAGGAAGGAAGATGAGTAAATCAAGAGTTTTAAGGACAAAATAGGTATTAAGGGGTCAATTTGATGAAAGAACGTTGAGAGAGTTTAGCAAAACTAAAAGGACAAATGTAATCAGACGAGAACCCACACCTCGTAAATACCCAATGTTTGAATGATCGGCTAGGCATAGCCTCTGTATAATGAAGCTAATAAAATTTTCTTGAAATTTTATGTAGATTAAGTTCAAGAGCATATTGATAATATAGAACAAACCTGTAAAATACTAAACCAATTAGATGCTTACCAACGAGCAGGGATGAAACTCATTGATCTAGAGTGCTTAAATATCTTCAGATTATGAATTCAGAGAAGACTGGCAGTCCCACCAGCCAATTCAGGGGTTATTTCGTACTTGGTTCACCACTTGACAAATTATTGATATATCCTAATTTTAATTCTCTGAATACACCAACACTGTCTTACTTTAGAAGGAGGAATAATAATATTTTCTTGAAGTAAAGCTTCTCAGAAAAATAAATTATTATTGTCATCACTAGTCCCCACATATTAATTGTTAAAATAGATTGCATGGGATTAAGAATTTTCAGAAAGAAGATCTTCATTATACAGTTTCAGAGAGTTCCACCACTCTCTATAATCAAAATATAGTGAAGCACTCAGGCAAAAGCCAAGTAAGAGTTCTCATTTCTGATATAACGACAGCATGTGGCTTGCGATCTTTTAGCATGGTGAGCAATATGAGCAATGATCGTGCTCACAAACATAAAGAATTTTGAAGTTTATAACATAATTCCAAATTAAATATCTTGTTCACCTAGATTTTTGAAAATATTTAAAAACATCAGTTCATAAGTTTACAAAGTTTCATTATATTCGGCCAAGGAGGACCCTCAAGCCTCCTCTATAACTTAAATAACTCAAGTTGAGTCTTTAAATGACTTGTGCCAACTAGCTCTATTGCGATACTATCTGCATGCGAGATGAGGTCACCACATAACTTTTATGAACATTCCTTCAGATTTTCATAAGGAATCGTGAGTCTAAATTTTATATTTTTCAAAAAAGTAATGAGGCTTCCTCTTTGCGTTTAGTTTCGTATAAAGACAGTTCTCCTCGGTCTTTGAGTCACCAGTCCAATAAATAGACTTAGTCTAAGAGTCAAAACTTTTATAGTTTAAGTTGTGCTGAGGAATTAAGTCTTTTAAACACAAATTTTTTAAGAAACTGTGCTGAACATGGGACTTAAGAAATTTAAGAATCCAAGTTCTTAATTTTATTAGCAAAAATAGAGGGTCATCTGTATAATTATCAGCCATATTTTTCTGTATTAAGTTTCATGACTGATGGAAAATTTTGCCTTAAAACTGAGAGAATGGTAAGACAAAGTTAAGGTAAGAAATATTAGATTATTAGCTCAAAATCCAAATAGACCTCCCAAATAGAGTTAAATCTGCTTCAATATATTTCATGCAAGAACTATATTTTTCTTTGCTTCTTAACCTACAATCGAATTCGGAACCAAAAATTTATGATGAACACGATCGAGTCTTTTTACTTCCTAATGCTGACATAGTGAATATATATAAATGAAAGAAATTGCGAGTGAATTATATCCCAACTTATCTGCTGTCTGAGTTGTCCAATACTATCATTAGAAACTTCTCTCGAGAAATATTTTAATTTCAGAGTTTTGATAAGACTGAGTAAAGTTAATGGATCTTTACGTTTCTCTTCTGATAATAGGTATTTTTACCTAGTCTATCCAAGATAGCGTATATTATATATTAGTAAGAGAGTTTTTAGTAAAAGATGCTCGGAATTTATTCGAAATATTAGCACGGTGGGCACCTGATTAATAAGATGACTTTCCAAGTTTATAAAATATTTCCCATAAACCAGGTGAATTTTTATGAAAATGGACCCGAATCTCCTATTTTCAAACCTATCGAAAAAGAGAAAGACAAACGATAAAGCTGTAGATTTATTGAATTTTTAGTAGAACTTAATGATCGTGCGTTGAGAGTTCATCCACAAGCTTCTGGAAGTTAGGAGGAGAAATATTCTCAAATTACTGAAACACTCCAGAAGGGGAGCGAAGCTCATCTTTACTGCTTAATTTACTCGATCAGTGTTGAACTCAACTCTTCAATAAAGATATTTACTCTAGGGTCATCTAACTCCTGTACCAAGCACCAGGCTAGAGCTCTCAGGTTCTCTGACTCTAGAGCATTCTCAAATTTGATTCTGGAGAACTGTCTTGCGCATCTATGGAAGGCAATAACCTGGTTCTTGGTGTCTCAGCAACACTCTAATTCAGGCGCTTTCTTGATCCCAATCATGCCGATGGTATAGTGAATGAGGTCTTCAGTAAAGCTTTCAGGAGGAATCAACCCAGCTAGCATAATATGGACTCTTTCGTAAACTTGTTCAAGAGTGCACTTGAGGTAGGTCTTCTGGACGATATCCGGATTTTTAGCTTTGAAAAGATCTCTGTAAAACTTCCTGAGAAGTCTGATCGCTGATTTATAAGCCACATCTCTTCTGTTAGAACTTGTTAGGTTTTTGATAGAGATTTCCTGAGGAGGAATTGCTGGGCCAGATTTTGGATTCTCCACAAAAGTACCTTCAGACTCTCCCTCATTTACAGTTTTCCTCAGGTAGCTACTAAAATCGTCCAGGTTAGATCTACCTCAGATTTCATTAGATGCTTGCTGTTCAAGAGGATCAGGGTTATTGCAAATCCGAGCGGGGTAAGATTCGGAAGAACTCATCGAGAGACTAAAGAGAGAACAAGCCTAAATTTTGGTTAGACCATGATGTATTAACAAAGGTAAATATTTTCTTAATGTAAACCTATAAATGCCACCTTTTGGAATAAAAAGTGGCGAATAATACAAATAATATTCAAGAAGCTTGCTTACGTCTTCAGGTTCAGCACTGGCAATGCTGGAAAACACGTTTTCAGGATATAGGTAGGAAGTATCATTGATATCACAAAGCTTGGGAAAGTTTGTAGGGGAACTCATTCTTTTATTATTTTATTATTACTCTTTGAGCCTATTTATCAATTATGGCAGCAGAGTGGGGTTTTGGGGTTTTGGGGTTTTGGGGTTTTGGGG